CCATTACAATGACTATATGTACTTACTGTTGTTTAACAAGAACACGAATTACTCCAGTCTTCCAGTAAAACTACTGCTTCAACACACATCTACGGCGCTTTAAAATTATCCTAAAAATAAGAGGGCTATAGGAAGGTCCATTATAGGATTACACTGGGACAAGTATTTGCTCAAATACGGTCCTGGATAACAAGAATATACGTGTAAACAGAGCACCGAAGACACGCAGAGTAAACTCGACTTGAATGTTGGCAACCTTGGATTGCTTTCCGTGTTTGCCAGCTTTATACCCGGGCATATTGGGTGTCGTCTTTCCTATGGAAATCAAGATATTTGCTTTGTTGTTTAGGGGACGCGTGGGTACACATAGGGATGGAAATCGCCCCGCAAAATCGACGAGGTTAGGTTAGGAAAACGAGCCCGGCCTGTCGAACATTGTTTGATTATAGGCAATAATGTTTCCATTGCACTGTCTCTGTTTTCCACATAATACAACGGCCGTGATTCACAGAAAATCGAAATAAAAACTGAATCATACGGCAAAAACGCGCGGGGTTTTTAAAGAATGATGCATCAATCTATTTTCGTCGAGTATTTGCATGTCCGAGCGCGTTTTGCTCGAATGCGGCTTTCGTGTCGCCTATCGAAATTCCCATCTGAATCGACCCGGAGAAATTTCGGTACGCCGCTGGTTTTATGATAAATTTCGAAACTCGATTATCGCATTGATCATTCGTAATAAAACGTTCGGGCGAGGCATCGGGGATGAAATTTAAGCGTTATTGATAGCCTGTCTTGTTTAATAGGCCGGCCATTGTGTGTAAGGGAGATTTTTTTTTCGCTCCGTAGATACGCCCTTTGTACATAATTTTTCCCTTGTTTTCGAATTATACTGTTCGCTTTTTTACAAGCATATTACCAGCTATTTTTATTTGGACCACCCGGTAAATCGCAATAAATTACTAATCGAAATTATTTATTAGTTTTCGCCCGTCGGACTTGATGTCCTCCACTATATTCAATTCGTGTGATTTATTCATTAATTAACGAATAAAAATAATTAGAATGGCAAATATTTACATTCCGTTCCGTTGATTCCATATTCATAAATTTGAACAAACTCTACCCGATTAATTTAATTAGCTAAAATTGAAGTAAATATGATGCAGTTTCTTCCAGTATTTACTGCGCGAATTGGCATTTTAATAATTCACTCGATGCCTTGCATTATTAATTGTTATTGTATTTAATTAATGTTCGGTGATTAAAAAGGCGGAAAAATCGTTTACAATGATTGATTATTTTGTCAAAACTGCGTTTATAGTGTGGAATAAATTAAACCATAATATCGTTAATAAAGTCATCAAGACGTTATGAAATATAATTGCACAATTAATTATAATGTGTTGTGGCATCTTCTTCCAAGGCTTCGTTGTTTTCCTGGCAGTGTTAAGCTCGAAATTAATTAGAATATTAGAAATTTTTACATAAAAAAATTTGCAGTTAACACGCTATAAACAACCCTCAGGTATTTAACATGAATTGTAGAGTACAACTTTTTTTCCGAATTCTTGGCGCTTTTTGAATATAATCGATCTCTCAAAACGAATGCCTCGTATAATAAATATTTTTTTTTGTCCGTTTTACCGAACTCGCTGGCACCGGTTTTTAGTTGGGCAAACAACGCGCGAACGGTTCTGTAAATATTTGAAACCGAAACGTTTTAAAGCCGCAGCGGCCGGAGCGAGCCGAAGAAGAGAAAAATCGAACCTTTATCAGTTTTAAAATTACTGCGCGATTTAGGACCAACGAATCGATCGGGCCCCGTATGCAAGTTCACATGCAAATCGCACACCCCTCGTATTCGGTTCGAGTCGGGAATACAAATTGGAAATCGAGTCTCTCCTCTCCCAAGGCGATTCTTCGTGTAAACTCTCCTATTTCTCGAATCTAGCGTGTAAGGTGAAGGAATTTCCTTCCACGGATTTATTCTCTTATTAAATTAAAAGATTTTATCTGGGCAGCCGAGTATAATTATTGCGTCCGACGAAATTTATGGGTCATGCTCTCGGGTTGACGAGACTCCATATGCCTCTATACACAATTCGAATCGTGCGTTAGAAAAAAGAAACTGAACCGTTTTATTTGAATTTATCGATGGAAGGAGAGGCTTATCTGATACGCTTTCCATCCGATATACACAATTTTCGTGATTATTAAATTTAATTCAATTAAAACTATACAAGTTTGTGGAATGCATCGGATCGTTGTCGATACGAGGGTTCGTCGATTCGACCTAAATTTCAGGGTTAATTAACTCAAATTGACAATAAATTACCCGGAGAATTCCAAAAACACAAGAATGTGTATTGAATATACAGGGGGATTCTTAATAGAATATGAAGATATAACTACAAATACAGATTTCAAAATAATACTTTAAAACGAATAAAAACGAAATATCTATGGATCCTAAAATCAATCAAATTATTCAAATTATTTTTCAAAAGTATTTAAAAATCACTCTGTATACTCCACATAGTCTAAACTCGGCATTTTCTTCATTCATAAGACGTCTAATTACATACATGAACTAACACACAGATGTCTCGACTTACTCTAATTAACTTCTCCCGTAATTAATTGAACCCAATTAAGTTCGACAATAAAATGTTGAAAGTGAATTCTCTTTTTCCGCGCAAGACCAAGAGGTTCCTTTCGGCGAATTCCTCGTCGAATTCGCGAAATTCGGTTAATTTAATTATTTTAATTAAACAAATTGAGCGACCACTCGCGTTAATTAAATGGCGCTCCGAATGCCGTTCGGCGGCGAATTAAATACTTAAATAACGCACATTAAAACGGAATACCCAATAAACAAACAGGAGAAATAAAAACCACCGGTCGGCTTGTGTTTGCGCAATGAATTTTTTTGTACTGCAATTACGCGTACATGCGTTATGTAAATTGAATTTGTTGATATAATTGAATTTCGTGTAAAATCTAGTGTGTACAAAATGCCGGAGGATGATAGTCAATAAAATACTTGCGATGAATTTTACTACAAGCCTTTGTGTGAACGACTTTTTAAATTAGATTTAGTTTTTCGCTACACTACCCGTTTTATTTTTCTGGATTTTTATAGTTCATAAAATTTTAATCCGGATAGAGCTAAAAACGACAAGCTGCTTTCCCTTTGTTAAATAAAAGTTTCCAGATCAGCCATGTGTAAGAATTAAGATATGAACTAATACACTATATAGTCGCCTGTTTTCGTTCATCCTCTATCGCGTTGAAAAATTTTCCCGACACAGGATCGGACTCTCTCGTTTTTCCATTAATAAACACGTAATAACGTTAATTTTTTTATACCGTTAATAACGTCTCAATGCGTTATTATAATAGAATTTCGGTATGTACAAAAAATACCATTACATAATAAAGAGTGGTATATTATATATTTTAATTAGTTTTAATCATATTAAGGTATAGCCGGGCCTGGGCGAGAGTGTGCGTTCGGATATTCAAGCCGGAATGGCTCTGAATGGAATCGACAGTGCAAAAAGGGACACAATGAGCCGCTTTTCATCGGGCACAATATCGGGCGCTTTTCTCCGGACGCACGAACCCGGACTGCGTACCTGCCCCGGCCTGATAGGCGCCCCTGATTTTTGTTTTTTTTTTCATTTTCATTAAAAATACTTAATGCCCAAAAGTAATCAAGTTATCGAAACGGACCGGCGAGGGCCCGGGACAAAAGGATCCCGATGGGCCGGCCTAAACAGTGGCGTAATTTATTTTTCTATATTCGTATAAAAACCATCTTTCAATTCTAATCTTGATTAATTAAGTAGATCATACGATGTTTTTATAAAGACTTATTATTAACATTAATACTATTTTAAACCCCTGTATATTAACTATTAAATATATAGATATAAAACTCTATACATTATATTAGGAGTGCAGTTTCCATTTTCCGCTTTTCACATTAGCTGGTTCTCCTTTTGTAGTCTCGGGACGTTCTTTAAAAAAAGAATCAATTTATCTCGAGGTCGGGGGGCTATAAAAGTGATAAATTGTTGGGGGTGGAGTAAGTCGAATTTGTTGCTCCAATCCGAAAGTGATGATCTAATTACTTCATTTCTTTAGATCGCCGGACGTCCGGCTTTCATATTTCATTTTTTCGCGGCGATAAAAAGCGAAAAAGGCCGATATGTTGTTGCTTCTTCGAGGCACCCTCGGGATTTCCGGGTAATTCTTTGATTTATACCAACTTTACTTGCACAATAAATTCGCAGAAACTCGATTTTTTGTTAATAAATCGTATAGAGAAACAGTTTAGTGCGAGCAATAATTTATCTCGGAAACGAGCATAATAAAATATGTTATACAACTTTTGAAGAGAAATTAATAATATACGCCACTGTATTGCGTACAATTTAAGGAAATGACGGTACATTTTAAGGAACATTTTTCACCTGTCCGACCGTTCACTCTCGAACAATAAATAAATTATCACGACAGTGTACAAAATTTTTATCTAAAGAATTTTATTATGCAAATCGAACCGAAGATAGTTATTTTTTACGGGTTATAATAATTCCCTAGGCGCGTACGAGTCGGAATTACGGGACGTAAATTTGTCGAATTCTTCTTCTCTTTATAATATAAATTACCCGGTTATTATTGCGCCCGTTCCGCTCCGACGAGACAACATCGTAAAATATCGTAATTATTTAATGAATTGCTTAATTGATTTTCCTAAAAGGCGCAACCATCGCCAGTTCGTTCTGTGATGGATGTTATGTGAAAAATTTCGAATAAAATTAAATACCTCGCGTTTACTCGAGAGTAATTAAAAGATGTAAGAAAATTATTTTAGGTAGTTTTGTACTTTGAAAATTTTCGAGGGAATAGGTCAATTACACTAATTATTTTTAATCTTGCGTAAAATTGTAGTAAAAAAATAAGTTATTGAGTGGTGAAATGGAAATTACCTGCAGGACAAATACATTCAGGTACATCCCTAATCCTTCGTCCGTCGGCGGTGACATCTCTGAGCACCCTCCTCTTGAGATGATAGACCGCCTCTCTCCTGTACCGCTCGAACAACCCCTCGACGCCCTTCTGCGGCGAAGAATCAGTTCTGATCTCCAAGTAAGCCACCCTATCCTCCAACGTCGACAGTCTACCTCGCATATCGAACTCCCGCCACACCGACGACGATACACTCACCAAGCACAAAACACACATCACCAGGTTGATGCCGACGGTGCAGTTCGGCCGTGCGGGGTGCTTTTGCTGCGGCTTCTTCGGCGAAACGCCTCTCGGCGCCGCTCCCGACGGGTCCCTGTCCATCGCGCGCGCTATTCAAACCGATCGCCGGGACATCGGGCTCCACTGGCCTGGTCGGGGGTCTTCCGCGATGAGCGGATGCGGCATTCGCGCGTTTCGATTCGAAGGAACGAGGACGTGCTGGACCTGGACGTCGCTCCGGTTGGTTCGGTGGCCGTCGCTCGACTGTGAAGTGGATGTCTCGACGAGAAGCGGTGCGCCTGAAGACCGAACGGCGGGCTGAAACGGACTGAAATGAAATGAAATGAAAAGCGCGCCGCTTCCGATACGGCGCTCCGCTCGCGAGTCGCGTTCTGGATAAGTCCCGAATCCCGACGAAGCCGAATGGGGGATGGGATTTTACTGAGATGTGCGGCCGAAAAGGGGGAGTGGCCCCACCGATTTATCAACTATGTTTCTCTATAAATTCTAAATCCTAGATGAATAGAAATAAACAAAATTTGTATAACTCAGAATTCAATGTAACTAAACAGAACACAATTTGCTGTTGTATGCCTCAGAGAGTGAAAAACTTGGTGGAATTAACAAACGGACGAATGGACAAATGAACGAATGGACGAATAAACAAATGGACGATTAGATGAATGGACAAATGAACGAATGGACGAATGAACAAATGAACGATTCGACGAATATATAAATGGATGAATGAACGAATCAACAAATGGACAAATGGACGAATGAACAAATGGACGAATGAACAAAGGGTCGAATGAACAAATGGTGAAATATTCTGGACAAAATAAACAGAACTAATGCGAATAAAATAATTTCAAAACGAGAATAAGGAAGCACAAGAATTTCACTACAAATTGCGCTACCAAAAAAACTGGATCCAAACTGGATTCAAAAGTAAAATTATCAACACTTCCTGAAATATTACAGCGCAATAATCCTCACCCGTCACCTCCCATTTGTCAATTTTAATAATTTTTGGACCCCTCAAATTTGGCGGGCCATCCATTTTGATACTCCTTCGGAGGTGAACACAACAGAACGGCGACATAATGGACGTCTTATAGGTGGAATCTTTTTTGATAGCCCCAAATCCCCGTGCACATACAGAATCCGCGAAAATTCCGGTCGCATCCGGGCAGTTACCCGGATCCCTCTGCTCATTGTCATTCCCTTACAGTCAAAAACATTATGCGCTATTCCAGTGGCGTGGCGACTTTCCAGACTGACACTCGATTATTATACCTCGAGGGTTTTATTACTTGTCTATACAAGTATAATTTTATACCATTTAAATTAAGCCGGCAAATTTATTTCCCGTGATTTACAAAAGGGGCGGCAACGTCCCTGAATTATACCGTGTAGCTTTTTGGCGTCGCGACGCCGGAAGTCGATGTGGAACGAGTTCTTGGGGAACTTCTTGGCTTCGGGTCCCGCGGGAGCGCTTCTCGGATCTTTTCGAAAGGGTTAGTAGTCTCCGAGGGTCGATATACGCTCTCCATTGTACGGGTTTGTATAAACTACCAGCTCTAACAACGAGGAGTTTTTCGATAATTATATCTGCGGACGCTGCCGAGTTATCGGATGGGTATACAACATTGAGGTGGATGTTTTATCGAACGCCTGCAGCAAGGATAGTTTACCGAACTCTAAGGATCAGTTTGAATTCTGGATGGGGTGAAGTACAAATAGACGGTATATTTTATAGGAGATGATTTTACAGTCAAATTCTAACTTCAGGTATTAAAGAATCTGGATAAACATTAGGTTTATTTACACGAAAATTTTAGATAATTTTATTCATCGTCTTCGTAAATTTTGTACGAACCGAAGGGCTTGTTGTTGTGGAAATCGTTTGCGGCTTGATAGGCGTAGATGCCTCTTCCAGGACCGTATCCGGGAATATAGCGGCCGTATTGGGACAAAAGTAACGCCAGAAATGGATTGACGGGAGGTAGACTCGGGTGATTCGCCATCCAGCTATGTGGCTTTAGGTTAAGGGTGGAGCTGAGCAGGAAAGCATTTACCAGCGGATTATCTAGTGAATGTATTCCTGTAAAAGTTATAAAATTAATTTCGTGTGTGATGGATGTATTTACGTTACCTTTGGTGGAATCGTAGTGGAGTTTTGTTTTTTCTGGATACAAATCGCTTGTGTACGGTCCTATCGGTTGGATGTATTTATAATTAAAAGCATTGCCGTGCGCAGTTGAATCTTTTTCTATTGAAATTTCCTTCGAATTAATATCACATATCGTCAAAAACAACACCCAAAAGGCGATTAACTGAAAACAAATTTCTCTAACAGTAGGTATCTAAATATACTTGCGTTATAATTGAAAAAGCGCCCATAAAACCACAATTAATCGGAATAAACGAATAGCTCACCTTATGCATTCCGTCGGCGTCTGAGGGGTCATTCGAACTAACGTCGTAACAGTCCGAGACACCGACAGGATTATCCGTTTTCGGTGCGCTTAAGTGGAAATCCGTGTCCTCTCGAGGAAACGGTGTAATATCAGATGTTAATTTCGCTCCCCCGTCGCACTTTCGATTTCGTTTCGCGTCGGGTCTTATACAACTTTTTTTCTAAGCGTTATGAACGTCGGAAGTGCGCGGAAAAAATAAATGCTGAAAGGGAAAACTGGAAAGAGAGGTTTTAATTGAAATGGAAATTGCGCTGATTATTCGTAACTAGAGAATAAATGGGGGAATTGTTGTAGGTATTGATAAATGTATTTTTTATGCAAATATATGTCGGTAATATAATGTTTATTACTACGAGTATACATATTTGTCAATGAATGATTTGTAGTGAGTTGGAGTAGTATTGCTTTGAACGTTTGTGAACTGGGAATTGAGTTGTGCTTGATAATATCTCTTGATCTTAAAAATTTAAGGCAATACTTTTGGTTGAATTTCTTTTTTTATCATTAGAGTTTCTACATCTACCCATTCCATTAAGAACTAGAAGATTACGAATGATTATAGTATAAAAGTATGCTATGTGGGGGAGAAATCCAGTTGGAGTTCTGAAGTGTAGATGTCTCTGTGAAGCACTTCTCTGTTTTAAGGAGTTTCTATGTGGTTCAAAAAATATTAATAATTCATTTTATTCCAGGACTAAGGAATTAAAAGAGAAATTTTAGCACCCTTTATTTATTTCCTCTATAACATTTCAAAAAAAAAGCTTCGCAATTTTTGTTTTAGTGTTACAAACAAAAGAAAAAAGATCAGAAACTAAACTATTATGTACCCCAATCATCTCCACTATAGTTAAATTTATTATAAATAATACTTAACTCCTCTAATTGTAAAATATCCTACATGTTAAAATACATCATATCTTAGTTCCCTCTACAAACAAAATGGGCATAAAACACCTACATAGAAGCAGAAAAAATAGTGTGCGAACTTGTATCGGATAAACACCGGAGTGCAAACCTCCATATTAAAGGATAACAATTCCGGGGGATTATCACCGAAAGGAAACGGAGGCAACGTCCTCGTCCTCGTCCTCGTCCTTCGGGCCGTTGTTAGTAGTCCTTCCACTTCTTGTCCGGCCCTCTTATTTATTTACGAAAAGACAAAAAGGCCGAAAGGGTAAACGACCTGGCGTCGATTTATACCGTTTGTCACTAAAAACGCCAGCGCGAAACTAAGCCGTGCGAACGACAAGGGTCAGGACAATGGATTTTATGGGATAATTTTACAGATTTAGAAAGATTCCTGGGAATGAGTTATGCCGATGAGCGTGAATTCTCTTCGTAAATGATTTAGAAGCGACAGCTTAAACCGACTTCCGCTTCCTATTTTCCCGGATTTTCCCGCTACTCCATCCTTGAGATCCTTTTATGTTGTTTAAGAATGGGATTACACGTTCCCAATTCTCTACTATACATAGTTTGTTTTTTAGTAATGCGAATAAAACACAAACATAACATATTCTCTAAGTGGCCGCCCTTTATTAATTTTTTTTACAATTTAATTTTAAATGAATTTTTCTCTCTACTTTTCATGTTGACAAATTCATCGACATAAAGAAGATTACAAAGCTGCAAAAACGTTCTATTCATACTTTGAACTTATTAGCATAGTCTCATGACCTCTCGAAAATGGATATTAAAAAAATATCCTTTTATCCTGCGAACAAAACGGGATTATTAGCGTTTGAGAATCCATCGAATAAACGAAAAAATGAAACTTAAACGGCGAATATGGAGCAATCGACTTTCCACCTGCATGTAAACTGTTCGATTTCTATCGAAATAGCAAACGTATTGTATCCAGAGTTTACCGAACTCGACGTTAAATAATTGAAAATGCAAATTCGTGGAAAAATTCTCATCTTCGCCCCGGGGATTTTTTCACATAGCCGCAAAGAAAAACCGTATTAACATTCAAATCTACTAAATAACGCATTCATGTATGCGCACAGAAATTCATCTGGAAATTTTGAATACAGCGAGGGGCATTTTAATTTATTTACTTCGCGTTGGCAATACCGTTGACAGCTGTCAAGTCACCGTCGTTTGTTCCGCAACGGAGTAGTTGCGAAAAGTTTTATTCGATAAGAAAATTAAGCTGATGAATTATGCATGTAGGATGCATACTTTATAAAAAAGCTCTAATTTTTAATACTGTGTATAAGAGATAACAAAAAATAGATGGTTGAGTAGGTTGAGTAGACACGATTGTATTTGTTGTGGGTTGAATAGACATTTCTCTACTAAGTGACTAATTAAGAAGCTTGAATATTTTTAATTCAATAAACATTCAAGGAATTGTAAATTAATTTTCTTTTAGACAATGGTAGAAGTTTTAGTAGGGAACGCACGCCACTGGTTTTCTAGTTGTTTTACGCTACAAATAATCCTGGAAAAACAAGTTAATTTCCAAACGTTTTCTGCGGTGTCGTCTTCAAGTCGGTGCGATATTTTCAGTTTGATTGCATTTTTTCGCTGGATAAACTTATGGCAATATAAGTTTTTTTGCACATTTCATTATATTCCAAGTTCAACAAACATTTTCGAAAACATTTTAGACCCTTTTTTTACTTTTCTTTGTAGCAGAATTGGCGAGTTAACGAAGTGGAAAATCCTTATTGTCTCCCAAATTAACTCAAAGTACCCGAGAGTTGTATCTATTAATTATTGAAAAATTATACAATTCGAAGAGGAAAGAACTTGCTAAAAAAATATAATTGTGGTCGATTTAACTCATCTATTATTAGCAGAATTAAATAGTATTTTTACTTTTACCAAATCTACTGGATCGCCCAGTACAATTCAAAGCCGTATACTGCACATGTAGGTACAGCTTTATGATTTTCTAATGGTTGTAAAGATGATTCGACCGAATTTTCCATTAAAAAAAAACCAAAAAATAGTGGCGCAGACGTCGCATTGGAATCTCCCCCACCGAGTTTTCGGCCCCACCGACCGTCGAGAGCCGTAGCGTCGGCACATCGCCGCGACGCGTCCTCACTGCAGCGTCGTTCCCATCCGCACGGCTCCTGAAACATCGCGAAATCGACGATTTCGAAAATAAAAAAAAAAAATCAAAGTGAACAAACACGACACGATGAGCCGTCGCGTTCGTTGTTAGGTCGAAGTGCGATGTCTATTTACCCGAAAACGCCGGAACATGGCATAGGCGATTCGATGAAATCCGACAACATGATCTCGTCGGAGTACCTGCAGGCGATCCTGCAGACCCATCCCGACGACAGCGACGTCCACAAGAACTCCTTGCTGGAGATCAAGTCCAACGAGGCCGTCATCGTATTCAACTCGTCGGCGAACATCACCGAACAGGTGTTCAGCCACGAGCTCTTCTACAGGCACTCGATGGCCATGACGACCGTCTACTGCGTGGCCTATCTGCTGGTGTTCGCCTTGGGGCTGGTCGGGAACTTCTTCGTCATCGCCGTCGTCTTTCGATCGCCCCGCATGAGGACCGTCACCAACTTTTTCATCGTCAATTTGGCCGTCGCCGATATACTGGTAGTCGTCTTTTGCCTGCCGGCTACCCTCATGTCCAACATTTTCGTTCGTAAGTACATTTTTTTACCATACCGAATCAACGGTGTTGTTAAAACTGCTTTTTTTGATGTAGTTAACTATTACAACTACTTTTAAAAAAATGTATTTAAATGCTTAAAGTTAAATGGTAGTTAAAAGTACAGGGTGTCCCAATGAAAAGTAGCCCCTTTAATGAGCTAATAATGTTTAAACGCCTATTCATAAAAACATGCGATTTTGTCAGACATATATTATTTTGCTATAACTTTTTGTTACAGTGACACAAAAATTTTGTATCATCTGTACATGGTGTTTCAAAATTTCTTCTACATGGTGTAGAAGAATATGTCTTTCAAAATATCTCTACATATACGGGGTGTTCCATTTAAAAAAAATGGTTACTGTGTATTTAAAACAGGAGATTTTGATAAAACACCCTGTGTTGGTAATGCATAATTTCTGTATCACTGTAAAAAAACTTACAATAAAATAAAACATATCTGAGAAAACCGCATGCTTTTACGATTATTCGTTTACAAATTAAAAGCTCATTAAAGAGGCTACTTTTCATTGGGACACCCTGTATTTAAAACTAAATTTGTAATGACAAAATTCCAGGAATTGAGGCATTTATCTCTAATTTCAAATAAGCTCGTTTTCAATATAGGCAAAGGGATATAAGCTTTTTTTTAGGCTACTTTAATTCGATAATTAAGTCATATTCGGAAATGTGTAGTCAACCTACCCTAAATTATGGTCGTGTCTACCAAACCAACTTTCCTAGCGATTAGCGAATTTGTTGGTTCGTCGGAGGGTCGAGTTTAATTAAAACATTCCCGGGTTGTAAACTTCCGAATTTCCGCGATTTCTAATGATATCGATTCAAATTTTCGGGGGTGTAATTACAGGCAGGACTAAAGGCGTCCTTGACCCAGTTGGGTCGTTCGGCATGGAAACTAGGAATGGCTAAAATGTGATAAATCAGAATGATCTAAGCGCTCTTTTTAAACATAACGTCGCCGGATTAAGTGGATGTTGCACTGGCGTCCATAAATTCGCTCGACGCGCCAAAAAAAAACGTTGGTTTATATACCGAGTGGCCCCAATAATACTTTGATTTGATAATTGTCCAATCGCTTTTAAAGACTTTGAGTGCACCTCGTATACAATCGCCACATTAATTTCAATTCCGAAATAGAACCCAATAAAAAGAACCAAATTATCCCTCAGAATCCCACCGGAGGGTCGCTTCGAATTTATCTTTTTTTTTCGATACGAGAAAACATCCAAGTTAGGATTGAGATGGGCGAATAAAAAATAAATTTATGCGCGAACGTAAATCTGCCGACCGCTTTTTCCATAATGCAAATTCGAGAGTAATGAACGTATAAAAAGCGGTTATAAATTGTATCTGTTAATTCGTCGTCTTGCGAACCACCCCAAGATATTACAGACACTTCGTCTACGACCGAAAGAATTACAAATGAGCGCTTTAAATTTATCAGCCGAAGATCATCGTATATATTTTATCCGGAGAAGCGCGCCCGACATAAATCTACTCCCTGCTCTAATAAGTTTCGGCGAAACCCAAACAAATTCCGGGCGTAAAAAACTATCCTCCGGATCCCGGAAGGGGTTTTTTTCACGCTCCAAGGCCTCGGAAAAACCGGGCCACAGTTTTAGATATTTATTTACGATCGCAGCGACTTTATTAAGTCATGAGCACCGCCAGATGGCGCTTATGTCGAATACCAGATGCACAGCGTGAAAATAAGAGTAGCAGTTTGTAGATAAGCGATTTTTCCCACATAACCTTTGACCTAAATCTGGGTTTTTTTTATTAAAATTCAATTTTTATCGCGTGTAAAAAAACATGCAAAACCGTCGCAAGCGAAATGACACACGAGCGGCAAAAACTGATTTTCCGGGCGATTCATTTACATCGTAAATTATCTATTAAACGGGGAATTTCTTCATCCAATAAGGAAGTGAAAGCCCCTTTACGGCGGCGTTTAGTGGGCGAGGATTCGCGCGACCCGAGTGCGAAGTGAAAGTCGAGGAAACTTCCGCGACATTATCGTAAAATCAAAGGGCAAAAGTTTTTCCGAATCGCCGAAAATCCGCTCCCCCCCGGTAGAACGGAGTGAATTCCGTGGCCCAGTTATATTTCGATTCCCTCTTGATAATTCGACCGGCGGAAAAGATGGAGGAAAGCACCGAAAAGCTTTCGGCTGTTTACGATAACGGTAGTTTAAATATTTGCCGAAAGCGTGAAGGTCGTAAGTAAAGCACTTTTCCGGCTGCTATTTCTGCGAATAGTTGTGAAAAATAACAAACAAAACCGGGTGTTTTGGTTGAAGATTCGTGCAAGTTTGCTCCATAAGATATTGCTGTGTTTTCCATTATGTATTAACAACAGAAATATAAAGATGGTGTGAATCGTCACTTTTTGGAACCCTCACGGTGCAAAATAATGATAAAAAGTTCACTATAAATTTTGCTGTTAAGTAAACGCGCTGTATATCTCGAATTTCCATATAGCGAATAATATTAAAAAATATTTATTACGCGGTCCCGGAGAGCGAGAAACCCCTTTAACACGTGCAGGTAAACGGCATCGTTAGAAAGACGAACGGCCACGTGTCGACACCCTTTCCTCTGTTATTACATTTCGGCAACGCTCTTTGCATTAAAGAGAATGGAAAGCGGCTTTTCAATTTGGCTGTTCTCGCGCCCAGTTTTCCGTTTATATTAACGTTAGTTTGTTGCCGGCTCGGGGCCCTCCGCCGAAACGGATCATTCGCCCTAATTTGGCCCTCGATCGAGCCCGGCCTTTTTGCGGCCTTGCACGGAGTCGTTCGGGATAAACGACGGGAATAAATGCTTTACAACGTCCCGAGCGGCCTTAACGTATAATTTAATCTCGACCCGGCATCGGCGTTTCCATCAAAATTGATAATACCGCAAGTATTTGATACCTACAGGTTTTCTTTGAAGGTCGATTACTAGCTTAGTTAGCCCTTTCGAAGGGCCTAATACACTCTAAGTTCCACGTGTTAACAATTTATTTTGCGTATCGATTAGCGTTTGAGACGATAACGAATTAAATGAGTTTCTCGTTTCATTTTATTGGCATCTTCGAGTTTCAAAGGAAATTAGTTTGATTGATTTCGCGGAGATTTGTAGAATTTATTTAAACGCTCTGTATAGTTTGATGAGTGTTTGAAATTGAAAGGGTATCGGTGCGTTCACACCTGATTCCAGACGCTTCTAATGTAGTTATATTTGCGTTTTTTTAGTAGTCAGGCTCTTCTTAGCTAAATATCGTCGTTCGTGTACATTGGAAAATAAAATGTCCTAAGGCAACAGACCTTTTTTTACTCGTCCTTTCAATATGCTTTTTAGAAAATCGTCTTTCATATCGACGAACGTCGCCCGTTAGCAATTCAACGCGTTTTTATCGCGATTTTTTCTCGAAGAAAGTTTTCATGCCCCTCTAGGTGTGTACTCTATATTTAGATGAAGAATAAACTAGTTTGTTTGAATGGAAAGTCACGTACGCAAAAGAAATCCCCGCGTTTTATGTAGTTACTATAACAAGAGTATCTATTAGGAAATTATAATGAAAAATCTTCATTAATAATCGCATTTATCATCCCCCAGTCAAACGGCCGGAAAACTAATTTATCTTCCGCTTCATCCCTTAAGTAAGACAATAAATTTTAATCGAATGGAAAAGTTCGATTAAGGGTAAAGCGAATTAAAAAATTATTATTAATTTCTGCGTTCGGAAAAGTTTGCCCTTCCTGCTCGGATATTTATCGAATAACTTTTGTATAATTTTTAATGTAACGGAATAACGTGCATACAGATAACGAAATTCCTCGTTTGGTTATCCGGAGTTTCTTCCAACGAATTTTTTGCCGCGATTAATTTCCTCCTTTAGCAAGAACAAGCCGAAAGGCACGCAGAACGGGGAAGAGGATCCTTATTATTCCCCCGGGCGAAACTTAGCGGTGAAATTTATTGCACCAATTAAGCTAGTAAAATGATTTTCGTCGGTTCTTTGACACTTTTCGCGTCGTCTGCGAAAATTATCAGTCGAGTTTTCCTACGTGACGCAATGTTTATAGCAATGTTGAACTTGAACCAAAACCACACTCGCTCCCCGAGGATCCCTACCACTAATAAAAATTAATAAAACTTGGAAAATAATTCACAACAATCGTGAGTTACCTATTCACCTAGATACAACAAATTATTGGGATACACTCCCGATAAACTACAAAAAAAAAGCCTCGTAAATAATAATATAATAGAGGTAGATACACGAATACCTGAAATTCCACCCTAACCAGCTCAAACTGCAATCGATTAGAGGCACCCTCGACCCCTCCAGCCTACTAACGACGCGCCCCCCCCGGATTATTTACGAGCGCCGAGTGCAATCGAGCAGGCCCCCCGCCGGCCGCGCCAGGTTATATGGAAACCAGCGAGGAGCGCTCAGGAAATGCCCAAAGTAGGCCACGGTGGCGTGCAAGTAGGCCGGTGACCCGGTCAATACGTTCCGTGGATCGCTTGATAGTGATTCCAGGTGAAAAGGATAACGACCAAGCCAAGGCCATAGAGCGGGGTGGATGTGTGTGCGAGCGTGCGAGCCTTATAGGCCTAAAAATGGGACGGGGAAATGCGGAAGAACGCCGGAATGCGCCCGTAAGGTGCCGGGAATTTTTTTTTTGCTATATTGGGATGTTTGCTGGATGATTATTGCATCATTATGTGCGAAATTCTGGATTTTTAGAGGAAAAAAGGGAGGCTATTGAAGGACTATAATAAGGAATATAACAGAAAAAAAACCTATGAAATAAACCAGTGTTGTTAAGTATTTGAATACATGTATGTAAAAAGTATTTGAAATACTTGTAATTGAAATAATTCAAAGTAATTGAACAAATTGAAACAAATTGAACAAATTAAAACACATTTTAATTACATGAAAAGTAACCAAGAGTAGGTAATGTAATTTTTTTG